AAAATAATCAAGAGACTTAAAAGGTCACCTAAATGTGTTAAACAATACCATGGGATTCAAGTATGTAAAATCTGTAACCTTAAGTGTTTAAAATTTAATCATAAAAGGATGAATATTTAATCTATGATTTGCTTTCATGAGTTGTTATATGAGAAACCTGAAAAAATATGAGATATTTCTCACACTTTAAGCAAGTACTCACAACTAACCCAGGTTCCCAATTTTTCACCTCATCATTACCATAAGCTGATCTTTTATATTTGCTAAGCACATCAATTTTTCAATCAAGTAACTTCTCCCACACTAAATTCTTGTTGGGTACAATCAAAGGAAATATGCTTGTCCCCTCTCGGATCCCTATACGTTGCTTCTTAAACTCATTGAAAACAAGGCAGGGTCTTGCATAATGCACGCACTCAGTAAATGTTTTTCGAGAGCATTTATAAAAGCTAACTGTGATAAACATTGTGGTGGACTCCCCAACATTAATCCCATTATACCCCCATCGATTAGCAATAACGTGATTATAAGTTGACCTTCACTGAAGAAGGTCCTGACTGCCATGAGAATGGGATGACCCTCAGTTCAAAAACTGGTAAAAAACTCAAATCTGGCCAGTGAGAAGAGAGATATTTTGCTGAGGTCTTCTGTGTTTTCCTACACACTTGAGAGCAAAGAGAAGTCAAGTCTCTCTTCAAGAACAAGGACGCATGAAGACTGTCAGCCATCTCGCAACCATGGTAACAACTAACCTTAGGATCAGGCCAAAGTTGTGGATGGCCAAACAGCCTGCAATAAACTATACTGTTCTTTGACGGCATTATTGAACTGCTGGATGAATCAACTTTCCTGACTTCCTCTCAGATGAGGAAACGAACTTCTTTATATTTAAGTCAGTTTGAGCATACAGAGACACATTAATAAATATTATTTCCTCCTCTGCTATTTAAACCCAATCCCCTATTTGTAGCTACCTTTAGACATTTCTGCCTGCCTGTTATCCCTGCAGTATGTTCTGTCCAAAACAGAACTCTACTCCTCTCTCAACAAACACCAGACTAAAACTACCCAGGCCTGAGGTCCCAGAGTTATTCTCTGAGTCCTCTCGTGTTGGTGCATTGGGATCTCTCACCCAACTACTAATTTCTTTTTGCAGGCCTCACCATCTCCACCACTTCAGGGATATGTTATCACACAGAGCATATCCACTGATCTGCTCATTCCTCTGCAAAACAGGCCAAACTGAGAAAGGTTTTGGTGGGAACACAAAGTAACGGAAGAACCACTGGGATGTTGATCTCAACTCAGAAATAGTATTTTATTCCTTGCACATGCTCTGTCAAGATTGTATTTGCCCTTAAAGACAGTTCAAATATTAACTCTGCTGTAAAATAGCTACTACTCTCTTAGTAAATGACTCCTGGATTCTCACATGCTATGTTTCTCTCACAGCCCTGGTCTCTTCTACTATGTACTCAAACCCTCTGGATATGTGCCTCTTTCCTCTATACAAGAATAAGGACTGCTTTGTATTCATCACATATACTCCCAGCACCTATACGTTTTATGAAAAAGAATCTGGAAGTTGGCTTTTTTCTGCCCCACTATGCATGGAATCAGTTTTAATGCCATTTTTCCTGGCAAGAACTGGGACTTGTGTTAGCATGCCTTTTAATCCCGCTTCCAGATGATGAGGAAGGATGTTAAAGTACTAAATAAAACAAGTAAAATCCCAACCCTGACACACCCTATTAGACACACCTCTCCACTCGAACAATCAGTGATTATTTTATTATTTTATACCTATTCATTGGAATTCAGACAGTTTTTCTTTCTGCTAGTTTTCTCTCTGTGAACATTTCAAGTAAAATGCTAAGATTAAATTCTTAAACAGAACAAATTTAATTTTCATGCTACTTTCCTCCCTGAATTAGCACTGAGGAAGGTCCATGCCTTAACATATATAGGGGGTAAAATCACCATCTCCCATTCTCTAGGTTTGTGTCAACCCATGAAACAAACATTTGCTTTCTCAGAAATACTGGAAGAAGAAATGATCACTTCTCTCTACTCTTCTCACTCCTGTGTTCCCACAGAGGGAGGACTGATGAATGTACCACCCTCTTTGGTACAAACTGAAGCTAGAAGTTGCCACTCACAACTCACACATGCCTGAACCCTTGATCGCTCCTTGATCTCGTCTTTTGAACTTCTTGTCCACAGGCCACACAGAGTCTTCTCTCCTCCACATGGTTAGCCACAAACATGGGAACAAAGAGCTCTTCTCTTCACTGCTCACTTGTTGAGCTCAACTCAACTGGAAGAAGTAGGATGTTTCTCAACAAAAATGAAACGGATATTTTTGACCCTTACCTCCAGTAAAGGTTCCCAATTGGCTCAGTACACTGAAGAAAGAGGCATACCATTCATTACTTACATACATAAGCACAAGTAATTGTCAAGTGTGTAACTGAAGAAATGAATGGCTAGAGAATACATCTGTACCTACTGACTCTCTAAGTCAAGGATATGAAGAGGTAAGTTTTGAGAATATTTATGAAATTTTCAAGCACAGAACTTGCTAATGCCTTCATCTGGTGTCTAGACAGCAATTTCTGACTCAGCTTCTCCCTACTTCCCACAAAGAATACATAAAGACTTTGAAAATAATGAAAATTCTTAGCACTAAGACTTAAAACTGGCAATCCAATGCTAGAATCTGGGAGGAATTTCCATCAGCTACCGTGAAGCTAAACTGTGAATTATAAATTAAGGGTGAAAGCTTGTTTGTAGCTTGAAATGAGGCAGAGTGACCATGGCCTACATCTTGGCCAAGAGACCCAAAGTCTCCGTATCAGAACACGGCAGAGCGGGAATGCCACCAGCTGGCTGGCTCTGCCTCTCGAGGCAGCCAGTGCAGCTCCAACCCCATACGTTTCTTTCTGCAATATTCTGAGACCCCCCAGAAACTACAGGCGAGGGGGAGGAGGGGAAGGACCACGTGTGATGAGGTGGCACACAACGTACTCGGAAGTGCAGTTCCAGTTGCTAATACACAAGTATTATGGAGACTGATGACAGAATGTGGCCTGGAGATGGCTCTCCATGTTCTCCTTCAGTACATACTGCTGGGAAAAGGCCACAACATCATGGCCATTTAGCTAAAGGTTGCAGGCACTGGAAACCGAGCTAGGTATTGTACACATGAAGGGTCCCCAATAGAACCTTTGAGAAGGGCAATCCACCAACATTGATATGTGCATGATCACAGAAGAGGCACATTACAAACTGATCAGTTGTCAATTCTGTCCTCATTCTACTGGATCTGTGGGAAGTATGTCACAATAGGTCTCACTCTCCTTGAAAAAAGGTCTTGGCTTCCAGGCCACCAGAGATGTGGTTCTTCTCCAACTCACTGCATACTTTTCTGCATCTCTGACCTCTAATGCTAATGGACCCCAGGACTCAGACCTCAAACATCTCTGCTCTAGTTACAGCCAGAATCCAGGTGATGTCCTCCTGATTCTCAGCCTAAATTTCATCTGTACATCAATGACTGTACATTTATATCTCCAGCTTGGACTTCTGGCTTGCATAGCCAGCTGACTACTCTACACCATCATTTAGGTATCTAGTAGACTGTTTAACTTCATCATGTTTAAAATCTGACCCTCTGATCTTCCTTCCCCACTACTCCAAATGTGCTCTATCCATAACCTTCATTTCAGAGACGGGAGATTCCATTTTTCCAGCTCCTCAGGCCAATACTTCAGATTCATCTTTGACTCTTCCCTTTCTCTTGTGCGACAACCATTTCATCATTAAATTCTATCAGCTTCACCTTCAAGATACCTGTATATACACACACATACTAACTAACCTTCCCACCCCTCACTGCCTCCCCCGCTCCTACCCTGTTGAAGCAAACATCATCTTTTGCCTAGACAATTTCAATAGACTCCAATAACCTTAAAATGCAGAATCTCTGAGCCAATAATTTCACGTCTCTAAAAATAATATAAAGAAATAGAGATATGATCTTAGAGAGTCCATTAGAGAATTTATATTAGGAACGTGTCTATATGCATAATATACACATATATATTAAAATTTAAATATTAGAAGCAACTGAAAATGTACATAACACAGGAATTATCAATTAATATCGGTAGCACCAAACAATGGAGCACTATGCAAAGATTTTAAAAGATTTTAGAAATGATTTTAGGAACACAGAGAAATCCAGTTTTTAACTAAGAACACAGGATAAATGCTATATGTAGAACTAGTTTAAACACAGAGCTCCTGCCTTTGGAGTTTAGGATTGAGAATTATATTCTTTATGCTTTGAGGCATTGGACAAACTTTCCTCAATAAACAATCAGAAATAAATAATAAGTACTACACAAAACTAGATTTTTCAATTTTCTAGATTTTTAATTTTCTCGCACATTAACATTTATGTACATATTTTAAACCTATTCTAATACATTTCTCACTTCCTAGAATTATCCACTCATCTTACATTATTATAAAGGATTGAAGCAAGTTTATATTTTTGCTCAAAGCACACAAAAGTTTTGTATTCTTGCATTCCTACTCCAGAATTCTGAAACATGAAAGAGTACTTTTTCTGCTCTATAGATTTTCTAAACTCACTGTTATTCACTCAAAGCAAAGATTTTGTTCAAATGATCCAACAATTCATCCACAACACCTCTTACCATAAAAATGTATTGTATTACAAAACATAACTTCATCAAAATACAAATTAAGTTCCTCATTAAAAGTTTTCACTTCTAACAAAAATATCAAGACTGTGGTGATAGTTTCACAGGTACACATGTCAAAATTTGTCAAATTGTACACTTTAAATATGGGCAATTTATTATATCTTAGTGAGGCTGCTAAATAAAACATAATATCAAGAAAGGCCCCATAATGAAATATGCTTAAAAGGCCTGAAAGGTAGACACACACAGAGAAAAAAGAACCACTCCTTAAATGCACCAGCAAGTTTATTTACAAATGCAGCTGAACAGAAAGGCTCACTAGTTTCTGGGGAAAACTTGTGGTATACAAGCCATGGTTATTTGTCATTAATAAAAATAAGCAGTTTTCTATTGGCAATTGCTTAGCAACAATTCCGGTGAAGAAAATAGAGCTCCCTTCATCAAGCAAATAACATGTTACATAAGGTAAATTTTAAAAATCATATTATGTAGGTGGAAAGAAGGATGCAGAAAGCAAATTTGGGAGTGAATTTTAATGAAATTTTCCATGTGGTTCTGCATTAATTTAGTATACGTTACAATAAGCAGAGCAAAAGCAATTACACAATTATATTAACTATTTCAGATAGTGTTTAAGAACCTTTAAAAAACACAATAAAATACCCTCTTCGAAACATCACTAGAAAGTCAAACTAGATCATATCAGCCTCAAAAACATTTTTCAGTTCTTATTTTTTCCCTTGTGATTTTAAGATGCTGCATTCAAAAAGTAAATACTTCACTTTTCCCCACACATAATTACCTTCTTATAAATACACAACAAAAATAACAGGTTCTATCAAGACTACAATGGTCCTATGTAATCCAAAGAGGCAAAAAAAAAAAAAAAAAAAAAAGTTATGTTTTAAAAAAGAGCAAAAAAGACATACAACACATAATTATAGATCTACATCAGCAGCAACCACCTCTTCTTCTATCTCCAACAGTGCTTTCGTATGGAGGCTTACATCACATGGCAGTTGGCTGTCCAGCTGATCAGGCAAAGAGAGAAGAAAGAAAAGGGCTTAGATTCAGAAACACACGAATACTGCCACCTGGGATATATAGCAGTCATCACTCAGAGAGTGGCCCAGTGAGGTAGAAAGAGTCACCTGTCACTCACTCTTAGTAAAGCTCAGCAAATTGCAGCCTCTGGGCTCTAGAATTACTTGTAAAAATGGAGTAAAAATTAACTGCTAATATAGAAATAAATTACACTCAACTCTCTATTATTTGTATTGCAGGAGAGAAAAGGCATGGGCAATTTTACAATGATGATTCCAAAAATCAATTATATTTGGCTTTGGAATTTGATTAGAGAAAAGCACACACACATACACACACTCCCTGCTGTACATGCCCAGCCTTGACATTCTCCAACCTCATTGTCAGCTTCCAGGAAAAAACTGGACAGCTGGGGTAAGAAGGTACAGAACCCACCAACAGATAAGAGAGAGTTGAGTGGGCTTGAATCATTTCCAAAGCACTCTTCACGTAAGGGGCTATATAAATACCTCAGAGTTCAAAAGCAAATGGTTTTGCTGATACCACTTGTAACACCCTTTCACAATAAGGAAGAAACACGTTACCAGCATCAAGGTTCAAAATATAAACAGTAATAACAGTTGTCTTGCTGTAACTACAAACAATACACGACCTAATTATGCTATTCCACATTTTATAACACACAAACTCATGCTTAGACACAAAGTTGCACTTGAAGTTGCCAAAAAATTCAATTTTTCCAAAAGTAATACTGCAATAATCAGAATTAATGCTCTCTTTTTAAAAACACTATATATATTGATATATGATTATATATTAACATTACAGCATAAACTGACTTATTCTTTTAAATGACAGTTTTTAAAGTTGGTCACATTATAAATCATATAATCAAACCCACTGATGAAAAATAAGCTGAATGAGACCAATCCTTAGTCAAAAAACACATTATGGCCTACATAGAAGTTTCATTTTAACTATTTTAGTTTATATTCTTGAGTCATTAGAGGTTTCTCCAGACCCTAGACAGACAACAAAACACACTGTCCTAACTTTTGGACACATATCCTCTCCAATTCGTCGGCCCCACAACCCACCCCTGTGGCTGGAACCCTAAACAGTGACCTATTCACTATACACCCTCTTTGGAGGGAGCACATTAAGATTCCTGAAATTTGAAATCCTAAGGCAGTGAACTTGAGTGGGGGACAGCTGCAGATTCAGGGAAATTCATAGGAACCCGTGGTCTCCTTAAAAGACAAGAAATTTTCTCTCTGATTTGCTCTCTTACATTGGAGTCTGAGATAGCAGTTGTTGCAGTACAGTTGGTCATCCCTGATTCTGACTTCAGATCCTGAGGAAGAGAATCCGAGGGCACGCTCACAGACCACACACTGGGGGACAAAAAAATAAAGAGTATTCACAATAAGTCAGGTCAAGAAAGCTTGGGGTACTTCCAGAACGGGGGCGGGGGGGAGTAGAATGCAGCTTCTAAGCTCGTAGATACATTTAAGCAAAGGGAAAAAGGGGGGGGGGGCAAAAGATGATTAGTAAATGAAAATCAAGCCTGCCAGATATGACATTATTTAAAGAATTCATAAAGCCAGTACGAAGAGCCAAGATGATCATTCTAAATATACCAGGAAAAAAAGTATAAATGACCTGCTGATTGGCTTACAGAAATTTAGTCCTCATCCCCCTAGGGGAACAGAGGGTAAGGCGCCACATGAGAGAACTGGCCAAAGTGAATGAAGAAGGTTTCTGGCACTCCACTCTGGGGTGGGCCACTCCCAGCATCCCCACTGCACTAGTTTGGCAGGTGTTTCCACATGGTACCTCACTTCAAAGCTGGGTATTTCAGTTCTCTGCACTCAAACCCCAATTATTTTGACTCATTTTGATCTGCTAAGGAACAGCCCAAGCCAGCAATGTATGAGCTTAAACAAGCTGTGTTCTGCAGGACACCAGGATCAAGAACCAGAACCTTTCTCTGGCCCAGTGCAAGTTCAAAAATCAAACAGATGTGTCTCTAGAGACAGGTAATGCAAACCAAGCAATTATAGCCTTAGTTCTCTCTTTATGTGCAAAAACCTATCAGGTATAAGTAGGTTGTACAATTATAAAAATATCTACAGAGGTTTTCCTTACATACTATCCTTATTCAAAGGTGGCTTTCACAGTGATAATTGCACGTCCCCATGCAATTAATAACACTGGAAAATTATATTTCAATGTGCCTATGACAGCATCTTAGAGAAAGCATTTATGCACACAAAATTTTATTTATAGAATTCTAACAGATTAGAGATAAGAAATGCATAGTGTTCCAGATCTGCTTTTTAGAACAAGGTTCAAGATTTGAGAACTAAGTAGTAGCGAGCAATTTGTGATTCAAACGCAGCACAGACTGGCGAACACAGCATCTAGCTTGTTAGTGGCACGTCCACATTCAGTGGCTCAAAGAAGCCATGCGCGCTCCAAGCAAAGCTTTGCAGGCCTGCAGGCTGTTTATCTCAGTCTCACCTTAAAACACTGTAAATGATAATAAAGACACAGGGTTTCGATGATCATGGCAGCTCCTTTGCCCAGATTTTTGTTACAGTAGGCGCATACAAGCTTCCCACTGACTGACCTAGATGTGGAACAAGAATGAATGGAGGCTTTCACCTGGGCAACTCAAGGTTTTATTTAAAATCACACTCTGGTATTAGCATTAATCATAATTTAAGAAAGGTTCCAAATATCTGTGG